TTTTGTCATAACAAATAGATTTCTATTTAGTTAATAAGTTGGGAACTATTTCCGATATAAACGGAAACAGCACATGCTCATAAATATTTTCATTATAAAGTTCACTATGGAAAACCTATGCAAACTGAATTTTCAGATCTCAAACTCGTTTAGATCGGCAGATACGTCTAATAGGCCACACCGTAAGAAAACCGATATTACTATCTATTTTAAAGCAATAATTTGCTTAAAATAATTTCTGAATTTGATAAATTACCACATAAACGAGAATTGTAACAGGTAATAGGCGATCTTTCGCATTAGAAACCAGCGCCTTGGTGTAATAATGCTGGTGATGGGTTTACCTATCTGCGGTGATGAGTTTACCTATCAAGAAAGGATGCCGGTGATCAGTTTATTATATCTCGGAGTGTCTAGTAATTTTATGGGGGGCTAATAAGTGATGAGTTCGTACATGTCTACCAACAAACCATGGTATTTAGGGTGGTAAATGCCAGTTTTTTTTAATTAATAATAAGTCTAATAAGTGAAAATTTAAAGATTCAAATTTTGCCATTGATACTGGCTAAAGTTAAAGTATTAATAAAGTAAAGAAAGGATTAGATAATATAAAGCAATCCAATATAAATTTTAAACAGTCTTTGGACAACAGGATCAAATAGAAAAAAAAACAGAGAACCTAACTTAATAATAGATTTTGAATATAAGCAACTAAAAAACACATCATACAATGAAACAGATATATCTCATATTGTGTTGAGAATTTTAATAGAATATGATCAAAATAGAAGCCAAAATTAAATTAAATGGAAGAAACTATAAAAAAAATGTCTTTAAATAACATGATCCATTCAGTGACGACGAATTATTTGACTACTTCAATTTGCTAATGATGTATTGACCTATTGCATTTGTTAACAAAATAGTACTTAGCTTAGAGATAAATGAAAAATACAATGTAAACATGAGTATCAAAAGAATCAGTAGATTGACAAGAAACCATACTTTCATCCTTAGAACCAACAAGGAACTACATAATATAGGGATTCTTTTACGCTTTTACGCCTTTCATAGCGACTTTATTACAACACAAGACAGGTAACGGCTAGGAGATAAATATAAACATAAGGATAGAAAGAGGGAATAAAGCTAGATTTATACATTCCCATTACACATTCCATCCAAAACTTTTCTTTTAATCCTTTTTAAATATCCCCAAAAAGTTTGGTTAAGCCTAATATTATGACGAGAGATATATAAAAGACAAGTTTGACACTGAGGAAGAGGTATTTGTTCTTTTATCAGATTTTCTAGTAGGTACTTCACAACACTATCGTTATATAAATGCACCCGAACATCGTCAGTGTTACCATTACAATCGCAAATTAAATCTATGAAGATAGGCTTTCACAGTAGCATGATTAAAAAGGCATCTAACAAACATTGAATATACTCTTCTATTGGGAAGACTTCTTGCAAAAAAAAGAAACATATTAACTAACAGGATAAAATTGAGGTGAAACGGTTAAATTAAATAGAAAAAAAATCTTTTCGGTTACCTACATACAAACTTATATCAGAAAATTAGAAGAATTATAATGAAAATGAATCTGTGAACAGGTAAAACAAGTGCTGCTATAAGAAGAAAATACAAATAGAGATGAATAAGCTATAAGAAAGTTAAACAAAAAGTTTAGACAAAAAATTGGATACTGTTGTAACCATTTAAAAATAATGTAATTGGATAGCAAAATAAAATAAAAAGTATGAAGAATCCAAGAATATATATATATATATTATATATAATTATATATATATAATAAATATATATATTATATATATCTATATATATATATATATATAAATATTACTTAAATTAGGAAAAACAGATTTCTTATTACTTAGAACTTAGAAGAAAACTGTAATTACTTATTCAAGCAATTAAAACGAATGTTATCTAACAGACTGAAGAAAGGAAATGTGATATTATGTACATTATGTTCATATCACAGTCTACCTACTGCCTATAATAAAAAGAAATGTAATAATCCTATAACAAATATGGAAAATTTATCACATAAAAATGTGGTGAACACTGTATAAATATTGGTACTGGTTTTAGAAGGTCAATAGGATCCATCAACATAAAATTGGTGTTACATTGAGTGGTTGACTAGTTTTTTTATTTACTAATATCACAATGTTTTATTATAGACAAATTTAATAAATAGATCTGGAAATACATTGAATACATCAGAATCCCTATTTTTAAAAATAAAGGATATGCAACTGATATTGCAAACTATAGGCTGATTAGTGTGTCAAGTCAGTTTTCTAATATATTTGAAGCAGCCTATGCAAATAGATTAACAGATTATTTAGAACATTTTAAAATTTTTTCTGTTATTCAAAACGGGTTTAGAAAAAAGAAATCTACAAATACGACTATTTCTGACTGTCTTCAATTTATTTTTAATGCATTAATGTGTTGGCTTTTTTATATGACCTTAGTCGTGTTGATCATGAACTCTTATTACAAAAATTGCAGGGTAGTGGAGTACGTGGTATACCGTACAATTGGGCCCTATCTTATCTAAGTAATAAAACTTAAGTAGTCACAGTGGAAAATGTAACGTCGAGGCCACTTCAATGTACGATGGGTGTACCTCAAGGCTCAATACTGGGGCCTTTATTTTTCATTATATTTGTAAGTGACCTAAACACGTTTTGTTCAATGCCAGATAAAATTGTTCAGTATGCTGATGATAATAATGTTCTCATTATTATCATCTCACAGAGAACCCAAACAACTGCTGGCAAATACCAATGTTGAGAAAAATAATGGACTCTTCAAGCTCAACGTAACAAAAACACATTTTATGAGTTTCTTACCAAAAAACTTAACTCCAAATTCTGACTTTTATTTACATGTGGATGGTAAATCAGTATAACGAAATTTTTGGGGGTAACCCTAAATTATAACTTACATGGGAAACTCACGTAAATCATGTAGCAGCAAAGTTAAGTACATGTAGCTATTTATGAGAAACTGTCTCATTTGCTATATTGCGAATGATTTACTTTAGTTTAGTCCAGTCTATACTTCAGTATGGCTTAATATTTTGGGGTTGCTCATCTCATTTTGAACGGGCATTTATAGCTCAAAAGAAAGTTTTGAGAAGTATATGTGGCTTTCCATTTTCAGATAGTTGCAAGCCACTATTTAAGAAGTCTAATATTTTAACAGTACCTAGGAAAACAAGCTCAAGTTTGACAGGAATGAGGACATTCACTCACATGATACTAGAGGTAAATAAAATTTTCGACAACCTTTCCCTAACCTAATCTAGGTGTATCCCAACACGCACCTGAATATATTGGAATAAAATGTTACAATAAAATAGTCGATATATTAACTCTCAGTAATTCTTCACATAAAGGTTTTCGCCAAACTGTGTATTCATTTCTAATGGACAACACATTCTACAGTGTTGATGGATTTTTAAATTTGTAACATTTTTGCAACAATAGTTCTAAATTTGTATTTTTAACTTTTATTTCTTATTTATTTTATTGTAATCACTGTTTTATTTTAATCATGTGTACTTTTACTATATATTATACTCTTTTGTACTAAAATTTTGACTAGTCCGATAAAATTTATACATTTTTTTTGTAAGAATTGTGTAAACTTTGTGGATGAATAAATTCTATCTATATATCTATCTCCAACTGAACTCTAGTTTCTTTGCCTTTATTGGTAATCTAACCCAGTGTATATATATAAAAATATGTAAAAATGCTCCTACAAATATATGATACAGTATAGATACCTATATGGATTTAAAAATTGAAAACTACTGAGGGAAATATAAACAGGAATATGTCTTCATGACACCACTTTAGGTAACTTTTCAAATAATTTTATATGATTATTAATTTGCTTAATGCAAAAATCTGCGTTCAAATCTGTATCTAAAAACGATAAAATTACGACTATGAATGAAAAAGGAAAAAACTGAACACGATTGTCTTTCTCAATATTATTCTGAAGCTATTTTCTTTTGGCATCTTAATACAGTTTACTATTTTTACTGGGAATAAACCACAATTGTACTTTAAAATAAGTTTCAACTTAGTTAAGAACGATTTCCGAAGCGGAAATCGCAATGATCAAAATAAACTTATTTTAAAAGAAAACTGCGGCTTATTTCCAGTAAAAAATAGACTGTCTTTCACTTACATTAGCATTGAATTCATCATGCATCATTTAATAATTCATGATCTGAATATGCTATATTTATTGATGAATATCTACTTACAAAAGAATTTTGAGACATGTGATATTTGACAATTCAAAAGCTGAACAGCAAAGAAAAAATATATCTCGTCTCAGCCGATGATACCAAGATGTTTGACAAAGCTGACAGACAAAGAAGAGACCATGGAGTCTTAGATGACTTCAAACCCATAATTCAAAGCACTACACATTAATCACTAAACATACTTTGGATAATATTTTCAAACGTGAAGATTTGTTAACAAGAAACAAAAAAAAAATGATTTTGAAAATTTTCTATCGGTGTCTTAGTGATATCAACATTGATTAAAACAATGAATTGATTATTTGAGATAAAGTTAATTATGTGGTTGTTGGTAGTTCTGTTTATTTTAAGTTGTGATTATACCAAAATATTCTTAAAATGGATGGTTTATGATATTTAAATGTGGTTTTATAAGAAAATGAGTGTTAAAATAATTAGTTTAGTAATTACAAAGATACAAGATGAAGTTTTGCTCTCACAAATTGTCTCTTAAGCCATGCTAAGTAATGTCGGTGGGGATTTCCGGCACAAGAGAAACTTGTAAGTGGTTAGATATAGGACACAAGGGGGTAGTAACATCTCGTAAGGATGTTGTGGCGGCGAACAGCGCAGGACCGCTGTAGAATTATCCTTGTTTGAATAAGTGATAGGGTACTAAGTATAACGGTACGGTACCTGAGTATTGGGTGATGCTCGGAAGCCAAACTGGGACATGGTGTGTCCCAGTCGCTGCTGCACTCACTGAGTCGTCGCCAAGGGAAGCATGGCTTCCAGCACACCCGCACGATATCACTATGCGATAATGTTTTGCACTTGTCACAAGCCACGTGGCCGAAGAGCGTAAAAATTCGGTAGCGGACGAAACGTCCAGGTGACAATTGCGGTCGTAGTTGGCCGTGCACTTCTTTCTGGCTACCCGCGATTTTTGCGAATGTGCCTAGTGGGTGGAGCGGAGTGGGGAGGGAGGCGGGAGGGGGCCTCTTCTGTGGTCAGAGCGTCTCTAACGAGTCCTGTTTTTGCAACCGACAGAACGCTACTACTGATGTCACGGAATTCTTTTAACGGCGACAAATTGTCGCGATCACACAACACAAGCGCAGTAGTCGCGGCGATCCGTAAAAAATAGTCGCGAGTGGCGGGGTTCAGCCAACTTTTCTCCGGGGACTGTGTCTCTCTTTCTGAGATACATTTTTGCGGCCTCCCCTCGACGGACCGATTGATCCACCACCACTAAAAATGCGCCCTACTTCTTTTTCCGTTCCCTCCCGCGCGGCATTTTTCCCCTCGGAGGGCGAGCCGCTGGTACCGCCTCGCCCCGCCTCCTCGTCTCGCCCAATGGGGCCGCGTGATGGATCGCCCGCGTGTACACAGCTAACCGCGTACCCTGTTCGCACCTACAGACACGACTCGACCACCGTCACGCTATTTTCCGCCTGCCAGTGCCAGTCTTTCCTTCTTCTTTTCTACACTTCTCTTACTATGCTTGTCGATGTGCTCTACACTCCGCTACTTATCCGATGTTCTGCTCTCTCTACTTGTCGCTGTCAGACGATGCCTGTTGTCGCTTTCACCTCCTCCTCCACCCCTTCGGTGCAACGTGCTTTACGACCGCTCTTCACCTTTTATTCCTGCCCTTGTTCGATTTTAATCCCTACCGAAATTCATAATCTCAATTAGTCACCTTAGCTAAATTCTAGATATACAGTGCGTCCCGATTATGTTTACCAGCAATAACTGCTAACCTAAATAATCTCGTCAATTTCTAGATATATTGTCCATGTAATTTTGTTTCTGATTAACTAATTAATTATACGAGGAGTGTCTGAAAATTTAGAATATGTTATTAAAAAATATTTTGTTCATAAAAAGTGGTCAAGTAGATATTTATACACTGTTAAAAATACTTTTGCATTTAATCAAAAGTTTTAATCGTGCTTACACCGATACGAGGGTTGTACAATATTTTTTATTATAAAAGCTTATTCTTCTGCTAGTGCCTATCCTCTATGTTGGCTACCACAATGCCCCATCGTATTTTATTAGCGGCTGTTCGGAATAGGTCTGTGGTGGTCATATCTGTCCTTCTTCTTCGCGTGCCATATCAGATTTATCCGACGTTGGCGATCACCATGATCTTCTGCAATATGGAATAATTGTCCTGCATTTGGTATCTGAGTCCATTCACGAATGTTTTTTAACCAAGAAACTTGTTTTCTTCCTAAACCTCTACGGCCCTCTATTTTGCCTTTAAGGATCAGTTGTAAAATTTTATATCGACTTCCTCTTACTATATGTCCCAGATAAGACATTTTTCGATGTTTAACAGTCTTTAGCAGTTCTCTGTCTTTGTTGACGCTCCTTAGTACTTCTTCATTAGTTTTTCTTGCTGTCCAAGGTATCTGCAGCATTCGTCTATGAACCCACATTTCCAATGCTTCAATTTTGTTCATGATCAAAAGTACAGACCAAACATAGCACTTAACCATTCTTTGCCTTAGTTCTAAACTGAGATGATTATTGCAAAGAAATGACTTCATTTTCATAAAAGTAGTTTTAGTCATTGCTATTCTACGTTTTATTTCTATGTCTGGATCTAGTTGGTCCGTTATCACAGTTCCCAAATGTGTCATTTTGTGAACTTTCTCAACTTGGACTCCGTTCAATTGAAGCTTTGCATCGGGATGTGGGTCACGACTAAACACTAAAAATTTGGTTTTGTTTGAGTTGATTTTAATGCCCATTTCCTCTCCTACCTCGTATATACGATCAAGCAGAATTTGAAGACCTTCAATATTAGGTATCTAATATAATTACTGTATCGTCTGCATATTTAATCACATTAAGTAGTTCCCCGTTGATTTTTGTTCTATATGGTTATCTTTCAAGTGCCTTTTTAAATAATTGGTCCGAGTAAACATTGAACAATGTTGGCGACAAAATGCAACCTTGTCTGACTTCTCGTTGTATGGGGATTTCATCGGTGTAGTTATCTCCAATTTTTACGATAGCAGTTTGATTCCAGTACAAATTTTTAATGACACGAATATCCTTGTCATCTATTCCGATATTTTTCAGTATTTGCATTAATTTTACATGCTGTACTTTATCGAATGCCTTTTTGAAGTCCACGAAACATGCAAATACATCTTTTCTTTGTTCACGGCATTTTTGTAATAGGATGTTAAGCGCAAAAAGTGCCTTCCTGGTTCCCATAGCATGTCTAAAACCAAATTGGGTATCTTCAAGATCTTCTACGCATTTGCGTCTAATTCTGTTGTGAAGTATTATGAGAAATATTTTAAGAGTGTGGCTCATTAGACTAATTAATCGATATTCTGAGCATTTTCTCGCATTGTGTTTTTTAGGTATTTTGATAAAAATGGATTTGAGCCAATCAGCGGGAATCACTCCGGTGTTATATATTGGATTAAAAAGTCTTACTACTACTTTTATGTTATCATTCTCTATTAGTTTCAGCAACTCAGTTGGTGTATCATCTGGACCACAAGCTTTTCTAATTTTAACATTATTCATATCATGTTCTACTTCGCATTTCATAATTTCTTGGCCGTCAGTACAGTTTTGGTAGAATTCGGCAATATTATTCCTGTCATCCTCAAAAAACTCTGATTTATACAGCTGCCACTCTTTTCTTATTTCTTGCTCATTTACAATAATTTTGTTATTAGTGTCAACAAGTACAGAGGAAACTCGTTTTCTCAATATATTACTCATTTCTTTCAGTTTTTTGTGTACATTAAATAAGTCGTGTTTAGATATTACATCCTCCATTTCGTCGCACCTTTCTTTCATCCATTTTTCTCTCATCTATACCTGTCCACTGTCTTAAATTCTTAAGCCAGGATATTCGGCGCCGTACTGGTCCTATATTTCCTTCTATTTTCCCTTCTAATATCAATAGTAGGATTCTGTATTTATTTTCATTTCTCACTATATAACCGAAGTATGCTAACTCTCCCTCTTTAATGAATTTCAAGACTTCAGGTTCTTTTTGTAAACGTTGCATTTCTGCGTCGTTAGTTATATGATGTACATATGAAATTCTGAGCATGCGACGATAGCACCACATCTTGAAAGACTGCAACTGTCTGCAAGACGCATCAGTGAGTGTCCATGCCTCTGCCTTATACATAAGAACAGAAAACACATAACAATTAAGAAATTTGAGTCGGAGATGTAAGTTCAAGGTTAAATTGCAGAGAACTTTCTTCATCTGTTGGAAGGCACTCCTTGCTTTTTCGATCCTACATTTAATCTCGTATGAGGGATCCCAGCTGTCCCTCCCAGAATCCAGATATGCTCTCCTTTAAGCCATCCTGCAAGGAAAAATATTTGGAAAGCGAGGTCCAGGAAGAAGAAGGACATCTTGATTAAAGAACCTCAGAATCTGGTTCAATACAACATCTGTGCAGTTTTCCACGCTGCTGCAGATAAATAAAGATTGCCATGCAGATCGCCAACTTTCGTAACGGATAGGCAAACAAGAAGAAGAAGAGAAAGTATAGTTCCACTGAGGAGTAGAAGAGGAAGACAAAGATGATTTGGACGCGTCAAAATTATTTTCATAAAAGAGGTAGTTGTCTGATTAAAGTGGACTGACTTTGGCTCATTATCTTGCTGCCCTCATTATGTATCAGATCTTGAAATAAGAACAGCCATTTCTTAGTTGAACCTTGTAAAAGAGTAGTCTTTATTTCTTAAAATATTTGTTAATTTATTTTTGTGTTAAATAGACGAGTATAAAAAAGAAAGTATTGTCATTTCGAAGGTTATAGGCCACTAACATATTTTTATAATAGTTTCCTGTCACGATGTTAAATATTTTAATTAAGTCTACACGAATATGTTTCCAGGAATAAGTAGGTATGTTGAGGGTAACTTCATGTCATTAGTAAGTTATTTAAAACAACCAGTTTTAAAACCAGCGGATATATTTTTTGTATATTACAAAGTAGTATATTAAACTACGTAAAAAACATGCATTTGTTTTAAAATATATACAAAATTAAAATTTCTGGATAAACTATTTTAGCGTTAAACCATCTTCAGATTATGTTATAATTGTTATATGAACTGTGTAGATGCAAAATTCACATTCTCCAAATTTTCATATTTTCAGTTATGTATATCAATTAATTCGTCTCGAACCGTAATAATATCCTGAACCAAAACTCACATTTTAATATCGAAAAACCATATTGAAAATGGAGTTCTGAAACATAAGTCACATTATCCAACTCATGATTTGCAGCAAAATTAACATTCTCCAATTCGACCAATCAGAGTTCGTAGGGCACACCACGTGATTGTCATCACTCTGGTGATGTTTTGTCAACGGTTTTTTTTACCTCACCTTACTTATTGCATTTAAATGTGCTTGTTAAGGTTGATCAACGTTTTTATGATTGTGATAATAAACTAAATTATTGTTTAGTATAGTGGGGGCCAGAACAAAAATTTAATAGTTGTGGCCATAGCTTGTATCTGCTTTTCTAAACATGTTCCAAAAAATGTAAAACAGTGGAGTTCTTTTTTCCCATAACAGGTCATGGCTGTCTTCCATAAGATCGAGTATTTTTAGTCTCAGAGAAGTTTATTAGAAAAAAAGAGGTGATTTACAAACCATCAGAGTACATTAGTACATTGATATTATAGCTGAACATTCTAAAGTAGTAAAAGTTGGCCAAGACTGT